CATTCTGTCTCTCACAGTTGAAGTGTACCTCTGGTGCAAATTACTGACCTCTGTCATCATTTTAGGTGGGGGAACTTGCACAATCGGTGGCTGACTAAGTACTTTTTTGCCCCACTGTACTTCATCTAGCAGGCATCCAGATGGCATCCTAGTCAGATCCCTTATTTATCTGACTCCTTTAAATGCGGAGCAGCAGCTACTCTACTCCGAGCTCCTCATCCTGTCTCTAAGGGACAGCCCAGCCATCCTTGGAAGTATGGATGGGGAATTGATCAGAATTTATTGATTCTGATTCCATTATCAATATCAGCTGTTGTCATCATTGTTAAGTAGGATCTCAAAGACATTACATTTGTTCAAATTAATTACAGACTGTATGCTCAAAGGTTTGTGCTCGTCTGTTTGTAATCTGTTGAAGTTCAGGGTCTGGGGTTGCCATTCACTCAGCTTTAACATCACTTTAGGTTCTTGGCTAGCTTAGCATTAGCATGTTGTCTATGCAGATACTTGCAAAGAGCCAAAGTTGTGTTAAGAGCATAGTACAGTTGTTTCTGTCCTGGATATCATTTGCACTTTAACACCCGCTGATTGTAGAGCAAGTGCAAGTGGATAAGTGGAATCGATAGGCAAACACATTAACGGTTCCAAGGACTTGGACTACTGGGAACTGTTTCTCTACAAGAACTTGTTATTGATTCCCATCCTTAATTAGAACGAAACTCGTTTTTCTGCCAAATCTATCTTTAAAAGTGAAAGCCCAAAGAGGAACCAACATTTAAAATGAAAGAGGTAGGAACTGAAAAAAAAGGAGAGAATAAACTCAGACAATAACACATAGACAAAGAGGACATAGAGTAAAGGAAGTTACATTCAACAACACAAAGGCTTATACAAACAAGCACTTCCATAGATTTATTCAGAGGTAAGAGAAATGAATCTAAGCTAAACTTCAGGAGGAAATAAAGAATATGGTACTTACACTGTGACACCTGACTTTAAAAGAATCATGAGAAGAAAACAGACAATATGGTAGGGATGGTGTCACACACATTAAATTACTAATGTGTGTTTTTTAAAGGGAGTTCCTGACTTGATGAGTGGGAAAAAATGACATTTTCCATACCTTTGATTTGTTGCCAAAAAGCCACGCCATTGTTTATATAATAATTCATATAAATTTAATAACTTGAAAAATGTTAACCTCTAAAAACTGTAAGTATGTCTGTAAACTTCAATTTGTAGATACATTTCATCAAAATGTTTGTGTTTTGATGTGTATTTTCCTGAATTTGTATGCAGCACACATCCCCACATAGCAAAATTTGTAAGGCCCGGATCTGGCCCACACATTGTGCTTACACGTGGCACACATACCACAAAGAATGACGGCCCTTTGGTGGCCCAGATCAGGTTACCAGAGGTGGCCCACACATGGGCCAGCACAGGGCCAGTTGCAGACACACTGCTGGCCCTGTGCTGGCCCAGAACAGTTTCACCTCTGGCCCCAGATATCAGCCTAATGTGTACCTTAATCAAGCCATGTAATAACAACATGTGCTGGAACATAATAGAACAAAAGTAACATGACGAAACTGTGTTCAGACAGTGAATGGACTGATTCTTAACTCAGTGCTTCCTAACTACATTCGTACACATTCACACTCTTGACATGCAGACTGGAGGAGCCAGGGATCGAATCACTAAGCTTCCGATCAGTAGATGACCTGCTCTACCTCCTGAACTACAGCCACCCAGTAGTAAACATGAGTAAACTGTCACTAGGTTTTGGATAAAATGTACACTCATAAACCTGTCAAACCTGCATTTGAAACGTTGGCTACCATAGCAGTATAGTATTGCAACATGGCATTTGGGTCTTCTAACTAAAATAGGAAAATAGGAACATAAATAGTGCCATCATTGCCAGACCTGGCCCACATCTGGTTGACATACACCCTGCCATGACACCAGTCAGTCAGAAGTGCCAGCTTGATCCCAGATCCGGGCCAGACCTATTTTCTATGAGCCTGGGCCACATACACCAAACCACATCGGGCCAAATGTGGCATGCCATCACATAAACAGTGCCATCTATGCCAGGCCTGGCCCATATCTGGATGACATACCACTTACCATGCCGGAAGTCAGCCAGCAGTGCCGGCTTGACACCAGATCCAGGCCAGACCTGTCTGCTATTTGGGCCCTTGTATGTCATCTGACACTTCTAGCTTATTAAACTGGCAGGTCATAGTGACAAATAATGGGGTTTTGAGATTTTCCATCCAAATCCAGTCTACAACTTCTGCTGTCACCCTGTTCCCACATTTATACTCAAAACATGTCAAATCTGTCAGCAGAACACCAAACACATGCCTGACAAAAATTCACGCTCCTCAGTGTGATTGCAGTTATCCATCAGAATCAGAATCAGAAAGGGTTTATTGCCAGATGTTGAGCAGGTTTACAACATTAGGAAATTGCTGCGGTGCTTCAGTGCAAACATACTGTCATAAAAATATAAAAATAAGAATAAGAATTAAAAGTGCTAAGTGGATAGATATATACATGATATATACATGAGTGCAGGTGGTGATCAGTGCCAAACATGGAATGATGCAGTGAACACAGCGTAGGGTCATGTGTTAGTGGTGGGAGCAGTCATACGGTTCATGTGTCCGACAGCAGAGGGAAGAAACTGTTCTTATGGCGAGAGGTTCTGGTGCGAATGGACCGGAGCCTCCTGCCTGAGGGGAGCAGGTCAAACAGACTGTGTCCAGGGTGAGAAGGGTCAGCTGAGATCCGAGCTGCACGCTGCAGTGTCCTGGAGGTGTACAGGTCCTGCAGAGATGGGAGTCTGCAGCCAATCATCAGTACATCCTCTTCTGTAATTTCTTTTATCAAAGTTCACTGAAAACCGTTTTTTTCAGCAAGTTTGGCAAAAAAAAATTCAAATAAGTATCTTTTACTATCAAGTCTACTGCTTTGTCAGTAAAGCTGTTACTTGAGGCCGTCTTTACTCCTCTCTCAACTGGAGAACAGGAAGGTAAATCAAGCCTCAAGTGGATTAGTGAACATGACTCTCAGACATGTTCACAAGGCAGTGTTTGAAATATGTTGTCACAACACTATTCCCCCAGCAGTCTGGCAAACCTCGTAAATCCCCCCATATATTGAGGGGGGTCAATAATTCACCGAGCACCTGGGAGAAAGACAAAACCCAGCGTTCATTTCCTCTATTCAAACGAGTTTGTTTTCATCAGTTCATATTTTGTAAGAAGATCAGTATAGTGTGGGAAGTGGGCTCCCTTAGCAGCCCTTTCTACACCCATCACCTCATCCCATGTCTCTTTAAATCCTTTAGTTGAATATATTATGTGAGATGTTCTGTAGAGAGTTCCAAGTTGTAAATGATTGAGAGGGCCAGCTGCCCTCAGTCGGCTTTTGTTAGCTACAAAGCAAACTTTCTGGTGATGAGGACACCAGAACCTGCATCTGGCCTGCATCATTATGTGTAAAAGTTCTCTTGGTCTCTCTTCCCCCCTTTTTTTTTCTCCAGAGAAACGGTGAGGTATGAGGCGCTAACACTGCACAGGAATCGTGTCAGGGTTTAGAGAAAAGGACAGGATATCATACTGATGTATCCTGGTGCCCAACAGCAGCAGACATAGAGCATGACATAAGCTCTCCCACAAAACGTCCAGAGCTGCCAGTACACACTGACTCTAACCCGGTCAGAACCCAGTTCAGTCAGTCGCTCGTCCAGCTGTCAACGTCAACCATCAATCAGTCCTTTTCAGCTCTGACTTACTCTGCTTCTGTCTGTGGTGATTTTTCTCTCTCTCCTTTCTCTCTGTTGCCCTGTGCTCTGATGAAAGACACTCTCAGAGAGGTAGCCAAGCCACTTGTCTTTGTTTTGACGTTTCAGTGGCTCTGCTGTGGATATGTTTAGAACTTCTTCACGTGATCAGTGTTAGTTCAAAGGCTTTAAAGCACCGCGTGGTTGTGTTTGTGGAGTTTGAAACTGGGGGGCCTTTTCTGGAGAATTAGTGAAGGGGTCTTTGATGCAGTTTGACTGCATTCAGTATGAGCCTGACCTTTAATGCATCACCTAGTTTGGTGGATCACAGCCAGGCTGAGGACCAGAAGTGAGCAGCAAACAAGTATCTGCTACCACTCTCCATCAGCTGTGCTCCAAGACTGTGTTGTGTTTGGATGTAACCCCACTCACTCACTGGTTTTGTGCTCTCTCCGTCTTGAGTGCTTCACCTCCCCCCTGCTTAATCTTGAAACCATCAGCTCCCCAGTCTGGTTCTCTTTAAATTGAATTTGAAATCTTCATTCTTTTTATAAGCTGGGTGAGTAAAACCCTGAAAGGCCTTGTGGATTTCAGCATCCACTGTTCTGAGAGGATTCAGATTTATTCCCTGTTTTTTTTCAGTTGTTTCTAATCATGGACAGAAGCGTCCCTCAAACAACAGGAAGGGCTGGAACAAAAGCAAGAAGTAAAGGCGGGGGAAGGGAAATAGTTTATTGCCTTTACGTTTCCTCTTCTTTCCAAGCAAGTGAGGGATATCATCGTCTGTTTTGTCGCTCGTAGAAGTTTGAACCATACATTTTTGTTTCTGTTTTTTTAATGCGTAATAGAATCAGCATGGAAGGAAAAGGAAGAGCATCCACAGATTATAATTAGAGCTGTAGTCTGTGTAAGTATGTACTCCTTCCTAAAGGCACTAGTACAGGACTTTGTGTGTTTTGTTTTTACGTGTGCATCTGCTTTCTGCCTGACTCTGGGTGTGTTGGGTGTATATGTATTCATGCACACATACAGCACTTGTGTCTTTTGCTGTGCATGCAACAACTCACACCTCCCACTACCACACTGACCCCTCCTGCTTCCTCTTTCCTTCTGCAGGTCTGTATGAGCTGCTGGCGGCCCTGCCATCCCAGCTGCAGCCTCATGTCAACTGCTCTGAAGACAACACCTTCCTTCAGGATATGTTTGGAGAGAGAAGTCTCCACTCACTTGTTAAGGTACAACAAACAAATAGAGTTATAGGAATTTCGCCTACATATTTTTCAGAAAATCACGTGTTGTTTAACTCATATATGCACACACTGATAACTCTTAAATACACTTAAAACGCTTAAGTAATTTCATTTAAGTGCTATGCATATGAATACCTCAGTTTAACCAAGCCTAGCTTTAATTGCACATGTAGATTGTGTACAAAGTTTATTGTCAAGAAGGCAGACAACTAAATTAGTCTTGAAAAGAGGAGCCCCCGGCCTCCAAAGCAATTATTATTCATGAATTACAGTCCTATTGCACCATCTACCTGCCCGGATCTTCTAATTCCTTCCTCTACCAGCAGGAAGGGGCCTGTGGTTTGGTTACTGCCTGTTAAACTAGATAGCTGCAGAGATTGGGGAGAAGGTTTGTCTGAAATCTTTCTCTGATTTTTGTTGTTAAATAGAGAACAATTTTCCCCCCTAAACATGGGGTAGTTTCCTGCAAATCGGCTTTCCATTCTTTATTATTAAGTAAATAAATGTAATAGCTGCTCGACTGCTGTGTCTGACTGATTAACTGAGCCGTCCTAGTGAGCCAAATGGACAGACGGGCAGACTTTAAAACGCACACAAGTACTAAACAACCATCTCGTCTTACTCAGAAACCAGATGCAGCATTCAGGCTAACATCATGGACACACCATTAATAAAACCTTAATTATCCTCTTCCTAAAGCTCGGCCACCAAATCTCCACAGTCCACCTTTATTTGGGATTTGTGTAAGGTTGTAGAGGGGATACGAAAGAATGGCTAAACAGCAGAGAGAAAACACACACATCAAGTTAATCTGACAGGCTTCCCAACCCAGGTCGCTCACTGGTTGTAATTGCCTCACCTGGGTAATTACAACCAGTTGTTGGTCACTCTGTCTGGAAGGAGAGAGACGGTCCAGAGGAGGAGGTGTCACAGATGGAGAGAGAAACAAGAAAGAAGTAGAGAATTCAGAGTAACATGAAGACTTAAACCAGACATATGCTCTTTCTGTCTCTCTCACCTGTACTCACCAGATGGTCGGGACGTCTCACATCCATCCTAATCCGATTGTGTTACAGAGATGAAAGAATTATTGTCCGATATCATCTTTCAGCTTTTATTTACATCTGTTTGTTGCTAGAAAATATTCTCATGACACGAGCCAGGTGCTTATTTATATTTTAAAAGCCTCACTTGAATCCAAAATATATCCCCTTCCTTGCACTGTCTTACTTTGGATTTAGGCTACCTTCCAAATATTTTCATTAAAGTTCAATGGTCGACTGCAGCCCAGATTTACCGGATCAAGCACGTTGTTCACAAACAAGTACCTCTGAAATGAGCCAAAAGGGGCTAGATGATGATAGATGAAGCCAAATGCAAGGTTATGATAGGGACAGGGGAAGGAAGAAGGAAACTCCATATTGCAGCAGACAGGTCACAGTATGCTGTTGACTACTGAAAAACTTTTTGAACCATGTCAAGCACACTGGAGGGACAATTAAAACAAGAAAGCTACAGGTCAACCAGTCCCTATTCTATCATTTTGTATTGTCTGTATTGGTAATCAAGGAAAATCCCACAGCCATTACTCCAGTTTCATCCATCCCTCCATCCATTCTCTGCTGCTTTTCAGAGTTGCGGGGGGACTGTGGAGCCTATCCCAGCTGTCTTAGGGCGAGAAGCAGGGTACACCGTGGACAGGTCGCCAGTCTGTCACAGGGTTTTGCTCCGGGTCACTTTGAAAAAGATGTTCAGCTTGTAAAGGATGTGATGTGAAGTTTTCTGGGCAGAGGTCTTAAGCCTGCTTAAATACTATGTTTTATGTCTTCGGGTATTTTGAAAAGTCTCCAAAGTGTGCAACCCTGACCCTAAACATTACATTAGTTCATGTTAGCAAACTAGTGACAGATTATTTCAAACCAATAACTCAGTGGAAAGAAAAATAAAACTAGTTAGCCATAATGTTAGGGCTTATAGATGATGTTCACAAATGCAGTTAGCACTGTTTTATATAGTGTTATAGAGTGATTTGACCCCCATTTATCTCAGGATTAATTCTGAGATAATTGGGGGTCTAAAAAAGTTTACAGCATGACAGGTTGCTGAAGCATCAACAGCAGTCCTAACATCCATCAGCATGTCCACAGGGGAAAAAGATGTTTACCTCCACGACACGCCTAATGCACCGTGTTTTATTGCTGCGTAATAACGGCTTTATGCAGGATTTGAACTTCTAAGCTGGCCTTGAAACATGACTGTTGTGCTGGCCAAGACAGAGTCCTAACAGGCTGTGATTTATCTCGGCAGACTGTGTGGATAAGTCCAGCTGAAATGGCTGTAGCTGTTTAAGGCCAAGATTTAAACTGGAATCTTGATGGGGAGAGACGATGTAAAGACATTTCACACGTCGTTGTGTTGCGTTGCATTTTCTTCACTGGAAAGTTATAAAAGTGCATTTTGATGGGTGACATTTGGTGTTTGGGTAATGTTTTTGAATGACATCATGTTTTGGATTTTGGTGTTGGTCCCTGGTGATTATCGAAGCCAGATGACAGCTTGAAGAGACTCAAATCAACTCATCTACACACGCTGCTCATGTTGTTGCTAATCAGAGCTTCTACCAGGGCCAAAAACATTGAGGACAAATACCGTCCTGTGACTGTGTCAGAACATTCAACTGTCAGTGATTCTGACTTGCTTTCCTCCGTATTTACAGTACTGCTACCATCTAGCTTTAAAACATAATCACTTGTGTTGCGAGGAGTAAAAACTATGTCTAACATTCCTAAAACAGATGTTTTAATTGCACAAAGCATCTGTAGCCGTTCAGTGTGACAGCAAACAAACTGCTTTTCTTGTCTTTTTCTGTCCTGCTGAGTGATTTTCTGTCACACATTGTCACTGCTCCATCTGTGTGTGTGTGTGTGTGTGTGTGTGTGTGTGTGTGTGTGTGTGAG